CTAATTAAGGAAGCTTTGTTTCAAAGTGAATTTAAATTTGAAACAACTGGAGAGGAACGTGCACCAGAGATGGTTCATAGGAAATCAAGACACAATAAGCTGACATGATGTGCGGGATTAGAAGCTGTAGTGGACGGGATACAATCATACAACGGGCACAACAATCCAAACGAACAACGATTCTCTTGACTTTGTTCTTTTTTTGTGACCTTCATGTTTTTAAATATTGTTGTGTATAATACTGATTCTAAGTTGATCATGAAACCATTGACATTGCAGCTACTTTCTCAATGTTTAATCCAGCAAACAAACTTTCAAATAGTCATCATGTGATTGTCTCTTTTCTGTAAGTAAAGTGTTTCCATTCTAAATATTTTTTTAATAGAGTAAGGTTTGTCTCTCTTAGAGAAATGTTTAAATTAATCAGCAAATCCACTGCCAATTGGATCATAATTGCCTAGCTCAGGCTGATCGAAAAGGTTTTAATAAGATTTCTTATACTAACCAGCAAATTAACAAATTCGTGAATCCAAATTTTAGCCTTAATCAGCATGTGTTGTTAAGAATGCAGAAGAAAACAATGGTCCACATAGTGTTGACATTGCAAAACTGTTTGATTCTCAGTTCACTTACGTTAGGCCTAACAGATTGGAGATAAACTTCAATATGCAAGGTCCCCGTATTGTCGATTTTGCTCAAGTCAACCTTAGTTGTCTAGTGAAGAAGTTGCACAGAAATTGCTAATGGATTTTCCTTGTTTTCGGCTTTCGAACAAGTCTTGATTGACTTATTTTTGCATCAATAGAATTCAGTCATCAACTATGGAGTCCAAAAGCACATCAGCACAGTGAAAACCATAAGAGTATTCAAGAAAACCAAAAATATATATTTTATATATATTTATGTATATTATATATTATATATATTTATAATATATGGTATATTATAAAAATTGAAAAATAAAAAAACCGACGGTTAATCGAACTGGTCAACTGGCTGGTTTCAATTCGATTTCAGTTACTGATTTTCCAAAAACCATTAATACCAGTTCACTCCTAAAAAAAGCCCCACGGTTTGATTAACCGAACCATAAACAACCCTAACATAAATTAAATTCATCAAGCAAGTTTTATGAATACAATTGGGAGCATAACCCTTGGAAAATGTGAGAAGAGCTTTGTTATTCTGTTTCCTCAAAACTGGTATTAGTCATAGCTTGATATGGTCCAATTTCTGACGAGGCCTTTTCAGCTTTTTTTAGTGATGCAAAAAAGAGAGTTTGGAATATAGTTCTTTTAAAACTAAAAATATGATTTAGCCTTCCAAGCATTGAATCCCTCATTTCCAACATATATGTTATAAAAATCACACGCTTCCTTTTCTGTTTTAAAGGCCATGCCAATTTTTGGAATCCACTCTTCAGGAATGCAAGATAATTTTTCGTTGAGTTTATTTTGTAAATTGGCATCAAATCATCAATATCTTTTGTTAGTTCATTTATATTAGCTGAAATGTTTACCTCAACTACATGATTGCTAACATCAATATGTTCATGTTCATCTCCATCTAGATCGAAAACCAGCTTTTGCATTGAGTGTGGGCCAACCTCTATCTTATCTTTATCCTATTAAACATGACACAATTTTAATCAAATTGTGAAATATAATACTTTTTTTTGGTAATTCATTGTGAAATATAATACAAATTTTGTCAAACTTGACAGAAAAAAAAAGACAAAGTAATATAATCTTAAAATTGCAAAATTTCTACCAATTTCTTTTAAGCAACCAATTAATGGTGAATGTTGATACTTGGTATAAAGAAAAATACACTACAATAAATGTAATAAGGAATCACCTGACATAAAAAGAAAAAAAAAAAACCCACATTCCAATCCCTCCAATGTTCTTCAAACAAAAATTTCCATAACCAAATTAGAATAACGAAAAAAAAAACAACACTCAAACCTTTACGTCAAGTTTGATACTTAACCCCCCAACCCATATAACACAAAAAAATACTCAAACCCACATCCTAATTCCTCTCTTAAATTTGATATCGGAAAACTTCAAAGTAAACAAGGTTCAGTTGTCAGGCATCCCATTCGCCTAGTTCAATGGAAAAAAATAATACACTTTCGATTGAAGAGAAGGGAAAATCTATGATGCGGAAAAGATATGCTATGGGAAGAGTTTTGACCAATCAAAATTCACCCATGAATTTTGATAAATAACATTTGATTGGCTACTATGTTTATAATTTCAGTTTACTGGTTTAAAGTTTTTCAGACATCATATCTTTTCTACATCATAGTCGAACCCTGAAGAGAAACAACGAATTGGAGAGAGGAAGTTGTTGTTTTGTTAGAAGAGAAGTCCACCGTTCTTTTCAATGGTAAAGATTAATTTAATTCAAGAGAATGGCGAACTAGAGAGGACACTGCTGTTCTACAACAAGAGAAGCCCTCTGTTATAGCCAGTGGAAATTAGCAAACTGGAGAGAGGATGTTGTCGTTCTGTTACAAGAATGTCAGCATCCGATTTTTGCTCGGTTTGCCGCCTAAACCTCCAATTCCCCAAACACCTGATCAAACCCATCCAACCTATCCGAAACACCCAAAGACCCAAAAAACCCGAATTTCACCCCGAGAGCATCAGATCCATCGTTAAACCTACCTGATACCTATCTGATGGCCCCGATCGACCCTCACTTACACCTCAATCATTAGATCAAACACAACCATCAGACCCGGGACCTCCCAAAACACCTACCCATGAAATTTGAACTCAAGATTCCTCTGTTCACCCGTTCATCAAACAAAGATTCCATTTCAACCCTTCTCGTACCCCAACCCATATCCACTTGATCCGAACACTTCTAAACCAATCAAACCTTTCCAATCACCCCCGGAATACCAGAAAACCCCTACATGTGGAATTCCATCCCAAAATACCTCCGTTTACCCTTCAATCACACCAAGATTCCATTTAAGGCCTCAGATTGACTGAATTACAAATTTACCTGATCCGGGCCAGTTGGGCCCATCTGACCTCACCAGTTGACCCAAAACATTCGGAAACCCCACCCTACCAATTTTCAACTGAAAGTACCCTAATTTACCCCTTCATAAAAAGATTCCATTTCGGTCAATCTTGTTAGCCTACACACAAACCTATTCCCTGTGGTCAAACCCATCTCAACCCTCCACTGTTTTTACCCGAAACCATCCATCATTGAACCAAGAACCCGGTTTAACCCAATTGTCGAAAATTACCAAAACACCCTCATTTTCCTTGAAATTACAAAATAGACCCGCCCTATTATAAAAGCAAAATAGAGATTCTCTTTTAACCTAATCCAAAGCATTCGAAGGAAGACACTAAATCACTAATCAACCGTTCCCCTTCTTTCCCGTTCGCAAAGAACAGAGGTGACAGCGGCGACAACTCAGCGACAAAACTCTCCCTTCACTGGTCTCTATCTCTTTCTCTCGTCCTCTTATGGTCTTATTCTTCTTGTTCTTTTCACCTTATTCCCTTCCCCTCGTCGTCTTGTTGCAGCGGCGATAGGTCATCTTTTCTTCCTTTCTCGATTTCGATCCCTCTCTTTCTTTGCCAAAAATCCCAAGAATCCATTCAAATCCTATATTTTTGGACTGTGCATATTCTTCGACTGAAAGAAAATCGACGGCGACAACTCACCTTCGAAAATTGATTGAAGCACACTGTTCATCTTCTTCGACAGAACCCAAAACCAGCTACAACTAACCTCACCTCTCTCTCTCTCTCCTTCTTCTTCTTCTTCTTCTTCTTCTTCTTCAGACCACCCAAAATCCACCGTTTATCGCTCCATTTCTCTCGACTCCAAACTGAAGCAGAGCATCGAAGACTCCTCAACCTCCTACTTCTAATCCACCAGAACCAAGACTGAGTTTTGTTTAGTACCTCTGTTCAGTTGAAGAATTTATGCTCAGATGCGATCAGTTTTCCAGAGTAGCTAGAGTAGCTCTCTGTTGTCGCCAACAACATATCCCATGTGCCATTTTTGACAAATTGCATGAATATATTAGTCTACGAGCTAATTATTATTTCATATTGTATACCGTAGAAAGGACTTTTATCTACGTTCCATTTCCAATTATTCATCTATGAGATTTTCCTTTTTCTTAGTGACAAAGACATTACATATCTTTGAAAATGTGGGAAATCATATAGGTGCATGGGGCCAACTGTTTCAATTACATAACACCATCATTTTCTGTGAAGGATCATGTATCCCCCTTCAACTAATGCTATGCATCTTTATTCTTTTTAATATAAAAGATTTTTATTAAAAATAAAAAAAGCGAGATCCCCCCTTCCCCTTCCTCCTCCTAACTCCCCTCATCTTAAGGAGGCTTACACCTCCTTGTGTTCGGGAGGCTTACACTTCTTGCATTTTGAACCACACCTCATGCCTCTAGCATTCTTAATTGAGTCAAATTGGCCCAAGTCCGATTCGGGCAATATTTGTTGGTAATGTCTAATCAGTCTTACTATAATCCAAATTGCACCCTCGATAGAGTGGTCAACTTATAGTAATGTTTATTTTTATTCAATGAAATCTAAGGCTATGTTTGGTTTGAAGGAAAAGGTAGGGAATTCTTCAAACCAAACATAGCCTAAGTGAACTTTAAATCAATAAAAATCAGGCGTCAAAAAGAAAATAAATAAAAATCTATTCTATGTACCTAAAATGTTGTTTACATGTCAACATTCCCTTCCCCCATCCGCTAAAATTTGATCATAATTATTATGTAATTCAACAACATTGAACATTGAAATTATGTGTTTATTATCTGAATCATCATCAATATATAACGAGTACTGGATTTAGCTTAATGATAAATAAAATAAAACAAAACAAAAAAATAGATATATATAGTTCTGTAGCCATCTCAAACTTGCTTCTTCCAAATTTGAACCCCTCTAGAGCAAGAAGCACAGACCCATTAATTACACTCATCGTGGTGAAACACTAGAAATTGTTACCTCATTGCTACAACTCCTGTAACTTGTTGAAGATTGAGCTGATCTAACCAGAACTCGTCCAACAGAAAATGCAGGCTGTGTAGGTTTTGGAAGGACTATTGAATCAGTTGCCAACATAACAACAACTGAGGACATGCTTGGTCTGTCTGCAGCATCTTCTTGAACACACGATAATCCTATATGAATGCATTTATGCACTTCAGTTGTCACACATGACTTCTCTAGTAATGGGTCCATCAACTCCAATCCTTTGTCATCACACCACAGTCTCCATGCCTATACTTAAAAAAAAAAAATCAATGCACCAAATTAAAGGTTAATATAAAAATTATTTTTCTTGACTTGTTCCTCCATGAAAGCATGGAAAGCAAACTAAGAGGAACATACATATGCAAGAAGGCTGAGACCGTGTTCTGAGAGATGGAAGCCGCTGTTCCTTTTCCCACTTACTATCTCTAGCAGGAGAACTCCAAAGCTGAAAACATCAGATTTTGTGGAAAATAGACCTTCCATGGCATACTCAGGGGCCATGTATCCACTGATATAAAATTAATCACATTAAGGAAAAGAACTCAATTAGGTTTAATTCCTTTCATATGTATCAATCAAACCAGTGTGTAGAAAAAATGGGTATGCTAAAATGGATGAATGAAAAAATTAGAAATGATAGAATCAAGAATGAAGCCATTCAAAAGAACCTAGCATCCAGTAAGGTTGGAACAACTTTTCCTAAGGCTTTCAATGTGTTGAATTAAGTCAATCAATTATGATAGCTTATATCAAACACAATTAAAAATTGAAAACAGTAAGTTTGAATGGAAAGAAAAACTCTTTTTATTTTTTATTTTTAAATTTTTAAATTTCTTAGTAACAGAAATCAGTGTTTCAAAAACCGACCTGGAACCAGAACCACTTTGGTCACGAGTTTCTAGATCAGTGGTTCGACCGTCTGGTTCGAACAAACAGCCCGTTCTGATTTAAAAAATAATTTAAGTAAAAAAAATGGCCAAAAACCATTGTCTAAGTTGAGAGATTGATGATTCGACTGATGGGGTTAACGAATCATTGACCAAGTCAATGGTTTTTGGCCCAAGAACGGTTTTAGGGTGAAAAGGAATCGATTGCCTAAACGGTTCCTGAGTCATTTGACCGTCCGATCCAATTTTGAAAACCATGACAGAAATTGAAAACATATACACGAGTTACCTAACTAAGAGACAAGGGTATTGGCTTACTATGTTCCGACGACTCTGTTTGTGTTAGCTTGGTTTTGGTTTCCTCCAAAAATCCTTGCCATTCCAAAGTCAGATATCTTTGGGTTCATCTCATGATCCAACAAAACATTACTAGCTTTTAAGTCCCTGTGAATGATTTTGAGTCGAGAGTCTTCATGAAGATAAAGTAAGCCCCTTGCAACTCCACATATAATATGAAGCCGGCTTTTCCAATCTAGTTGTTCTCCTCTGGTTGGATCTAACCATCACGAAAAAAACAAATTAAAACTGCATTTGTTAATTATAAGATGGTATGTTCATGCAGGTTGTTGAATACAGATAATTTCTAACTTGCTGGGTGCTGGCTATATAAACCACTACAAAACCAAAGAATTAATGAACTAATTAATCACCAAAGAGAAAGTTGTCGAGGCTAGCATTAGGCATGTACTCATAAACTAGCAGCTTCTCCTCTACATTTATGCAGTACCCCAAAAGTCTCACAAGATTCTTGTGTTGTAATTTGGCAATTAAAGTAACTTCAGTTTTGAACTCTTCTAATCCTTGCCCAGAATTCCTTGATAGTCTCTTTACTGCAATTTCCTTTCCATCTCCTAACACACCCTGCATGAAAATTACATCAACTGAATAAACAATCTCCTAGCTAGTTACTTACACACAATCATAATTCCAATTAATAAATATTATTATTTAATTTACCTTATATACCGGGCCAAACCCACCTTCCCCAAGCTTATTTATATTGGAGAAGTTGTCTGTAGCAACCCTTATAGTATTTAAAGGGATTGAAGGGAAGTCCTCATGAGATTTATCTCCTTCTACATTCCAAAGTTCAGACATGGTTCCCGACTGCAACTGAAGTAGTATTGAATCTTCTTGGCTATGTTGTTCCTTTCCTGCGTGGACAAATAAGATTGCATATGTAACAATTGGTATTTTACAAATGTATATAGCGAGAGTTACGACTTACGAGCTGAAATCCTTTGTACGTTAATTACCTTCTACTTTTCTAGGCTTCCAACAAATGCAGTAGTAGTAGATAAAGGAACTCGCTAAAACAGCCACTGAGATTGCCGTCACACTAGCGATGATGATAATCCTTGATGTTTTGCTCCCATTTCCTGCTTGTTTTTTTTTTTTTTTTTTTTTCAAAATGTCAATCCTAGTGCATTATGAAGAACGTGATGGACAGATTAATTAAAATAATGTCAAAGACCTATATATGTATATAATATAGGCTTTTATTTAACGCAAATGCAGAGGGTTCATGCTTTTGTCTTGTGTTGATTACTCCCTGAGCCCCCACATTCTAACAATTCAGAAAATACTGAAGTTTCCAGTATTTTAATGTTAAGGGCAAGTAGAAATGTTTTGTGGTCAATCCAGTATTTTAATGTTAAGGGCATGTAGAAAGTTTAGGATATAAGTTTCCTAATCGGTTCAGCAAATTAGGGGAGCTCCCTAGACAATTCCACTAATTTCTGCCACATAGAGGAGCCCTATCTCAACTAGACCATCCACCATATAGGGAAAAAAATTGGCTTCTACCCGATGGGAGAGGACATATATTGTCCAACCAAAAAGCTTGTTCACGTTCATTTTAGGGTTTAGGGGTTTTAAAATTTAGGGTTTAGAGGTATAGGGATAGGATTTAAGGGTTTAAGAATTTAGAGTTTAGATATGAAAAAATGGC